AATGGGATTTCCACTATTCTGAGGTCAAGTCAACATGTTATTAAATGTCTCATTTCTTTAAGGAAGGGGTTCAACCGAACCCCCTAGATCTGCCCTAGATCCGACCTTTGTGTCACACCCTATGTGACACAAAGGTGATGCCAATCAATTTGTACCCAGAACCTGTACCCCTAAAGATACCTGGGTGATTAAAACTGGTGGCATTTCATCTTGGACACCCTAAGTGAGACCAACATCTGTGACTTCCAACCTTAAGTAAGACGAAAAGCGTCCTCAACCTTTTCACATGGGAGTTCCCCCCAGGGCCATTGGACCACCTGGAAATCAATTGAATTGTTCATCCACCTTTTTTGTTTTTTTGCTTCAAGAAACTGTGGTTTATTAGATAATTACTGTGTTAGTTTAATTTTTTGCTTATCGATAGGTTTGGAGGAGATCCAAAGAATGTGACAGTCTTTGGTGAATCTGCAGGTGGAGCAAGTGTTGCTCTTCACATGTTGTCCCCTCTGAGCTATAGGCTTTACAACCAGGTTATCCTTCAGAGTGGAACTGCAACTACTACATTTGCTGGCATGGACAACAAGACAGCCATAAACTCCACAAGGTAAGTCTCACAATAATTACAAATTAAATCCTTTTTAATTGCCTTCATCTCAGATTGCTTATTACCTCTCAAAAATCACAGCCAAATTAACAAATATTTTCTCTGAATTCTATAGGTCATAAACTTTCTATTGATCTATATAGTTTGTGGTACGTGTAGTTTCTGTAAAAGCAATGCAGGTATGATTTATTTTTCTGACAGACACCCATGAAGGTATTGTGCAACCTTAAACCCTTTAACAGACCTTGTGGATCCTTGTTTACCTTGACAATCGCTGAAGGATATGAAAAACTAATTCTCTGTTTCCCTCATTGATGGTCACTTTTCATGTATCACTGCTACTTGACAAAGTGCTTAGTGCAATGACATCTTTTTGGCGAGCAATGTTGATTGTTTTGTTTTGAATGGCAAGATCAAAATGCTTGATCTATGAATGCTGTCAAACTCCACAACTCACACTTTCACACTTAATATCTCTGCCTGCCACATATTGTGCTTGCAATAGACCACTTTGGAATTCAGTTTGGCAGTGAGGCCTAGAGGACACAAACAAAGGAAATTGAATGACCATGTTTATTCATTTCTTTTGTTTGTGTCCTTTAGGCCTCACCATCAAGCTGAATTTTAATTTATTGAAAGTGGTCTATTTAGTATTAAATTTAAATGTATGTACATGTAATAGCCATCAAAAAGCTGTCAAAAGTAAACAAATAATAATAAAAAAAAAACTTTCCACAACAGTATGATATGTTCTTCACTTAAAAAGGCAACTCCCAGCAATAGTCACTGGTTCCTTCAAAAGTCTAATCAATGGTGTAGTGGTTTTAAATGAATTAACTAGGGTATCCTTTATCTTTCAACAGAACTTTTGCAAAACGTGTTGGTTGTGACATGTCAGGACTGAAAGAATGCCTGATGAAAAAGAGTGTCAGTGATATACTGACTGCCCAGGAAGATATCATAGGCACCGCTGTTTCTGGCTGCTTATTTCTGCCTGTTGTTGATGATAACTTTCTACATGGTGAGTTTGCTGAAAATAAGAAAGAAGCAAGAAGCTTTAACATGTAAGAGCTAAGAACTGGGCCTAATGGCAAATGTCCATGAATTGTGGTCAGAAAACAAGTTTTTTGGGTTGTGTAGCAATGGCAAATGGCTGGGGTATGTGGCTAGAAAATAAAAGTTTCCAAGTTGTAGCTCGGACTAGCTCAGCAAGTGGCCATGATTTGTTGTCAGAAAACAAACTTTCCTTTTCGTGTCTACGTAGCTCGCCAAAAGGCCATGATTTGTATTTAGAACTAACTTAAACTTTTTCATTTGTGTAAACAAGATGTACGTAAATTCGAGCAATTGAAACAAAAACATTCACAAGATAACATGACAAGATATAAGAAATATTTATTAACAACTGTTGGCGATCTGAAATTGAAGTTTGAGTTTTGCAAATAGTTCAATAAAATGTCTTTCCTGGAAAATATTCTGTCCAGCACAAGTTACTAGTTGTAAAAACTTTAATATTAAAAACATTTTTATGGGTCCGCATTAGTTCAATTTTATGTGCAAATCGTTATCTGTCATTCCATCAAACTTTGTTGACCAAATATGCAAAGTACATGCGCAAACGCCCAGCTCTAATCTTTGATTACTACTAGTCTTAGTTTAGTTTTCTATATTTGGGGATGTTTTTAACCAAGCAATTATTATTATACTAGTGCTTGTTGGATAATTGAGATGATTATAGCCAACTTAGAACCAGGCGCCTGCTTGGCTATTAGACCATCTCGTACCAATGGAATAATTGTTAATTGCACATTATTCATTTACCAATTACAGCTGTACAGTAAGGGTGAAGGTCATGGGGCAAAGGTGAAGATATGAAATTTTGCTTACGACAATTAATTATCAACCATTGTAAATAAATTTAATCATGCTTTGCAGATCATCCCTTTAATCTTCTTGTCAATGGCAAGTTTAATCAGACTGTGCCGGCAATGATAGGTGTAGCCAAGAATGAAGGAGGATTTTTTGTTCTTCCTTTTAAAGGTACATGTGCTAGATAAATCCTGAGCATGTCAATATGAAAATATTCTCCTTAATAATACACCTTTTGTTCGTATAGTGTGATCGTCCGGGTGAGGGTAGTTCTGAAAAGAACTGTTGTTGGTGACTTACATTTCGACAACCTGAGCGGAAGTCGTCTTCAGAGTCAAGTGAATAGTGTTTGTTAGTCGATGATGTTATAAGTCTGGTCCATTGAACGTGATTGGTCATTATAGACTTACAAATGACTTATCCATGATGGAAACGAAACTGACAAACGGACTTCTAANATTACACATCGTAATTCTGGATTATGATTGGCTGAAAGACAATAGGAAATTTTCTAAGCCAATGACATCACGTAGAATGATGACGAAACTTTTGTGCGGAAACTTTGAAAAAAAGTTTTCTGGAATGAGAAAAAATGGCTTCAAGAAAGATCTTTCGGCACTTCCTCCACATGAATTTTTTCATGTTTATATTATTAATAAGTAATTATACGGTTTTTCTCGTTTAATTTGGAATTACTTTGCACTTGTGAGTTTTTCAAAAAGCTGAAATTGCACTCGCTGAAGCGGCTCGTGCAGTTTCAGCTTTTTGAAAAACTCACTCGTGCAAATTAATTCCAAATTGAACTCAAAACAATAATTATTATTGAACTCGGTTATCGCAAAATATCGTTATTTGTTAGTGTCTCGTATATGAATTATTTTCCTCAGCCTTCAGCTTCGTTAGATAATTGATCTGCTCCCCACTGACAACTCACGATATTTTGCTCAACCTCGTCCAATGATTATATTGTTAATTAAATTATTTGTTTTGTAGGTATAACACCTGGAGTGCCTGGCATAAACAATGGACTTAACAAAACAACATTTGACAGCCTTGTCAAAAGCGGGCGATGGGCTTACAACCAAACACAGAAGGTCACAGATGCAGTGATCTTTGAGTACACAGACTGGACAAATGAAACAAATCTAAAAGTCATCCGTCAAAAGTACATGGATGTCATTTCTGATGCTCTCTTCAAGGCTCCTGCAGTGCGCTCTGCTAAGGTTTTTGTCAAACATGATATGGAGACTTATTTGTACTCCTTTGACCATTTCGTCTCTCCTCATATTCCAGCCTGGGCTGGAGTTATTCACAGCGGCGATGTTAAATATGTGTTTGGTGAACCTTTCCTGAAGTATAATGAGAGTGCTGGTGAAGCTGAGCAAGATGGGGAAATAAAGTTCTCAAAGCAAATCATTTCCAAGTGGAGCAGCTTTGCCAAGAATGGGTAAGTTCACACTGTTGTCTTTTAATACTGTGGAGTACGTGGTGTATAGATGTATCTTTTAAGCCTTACCGATATTCATACTTGTACTGAGTCATTTATCTTAATCCGATTCACAATTTCTGGAGACATGATAAACTTCGAGATTATATTTGAAATAATTTTCGTTTAATTTGAAATTTGTCCCTATTTACAACATAAATCTTCGTCAAAAACGCGATCTCGTGTTCTCGTCTTCGCTTCGCAAAAGGACTGCTCAAGTCTAATTTACAATTTATTATATTCATGTGGTATCACGTGCTATATCAAGCTGTGTCTTATCTGTACAAACAAATAAGTTCTTACGCAATAAAAGAGTTCGTGAATGTTCTTTACAATGATTACAGATTTCATCTCTATAAGACATCGTTGATATACATAAACCTTATCTGATGGTTTAACATTATAATGTGCACAGATATTTTGCGAGTTGTGCAGTACAAGCGGTCACTAAAATATGTGGGCACATTACAGTATATATTAAACCATTGAATAAGGGATCTATTATTCCACTGTTGCGACATTTTCTAATATTTCAGCTTCCACATTTTGAAATACACCCTGCATCATTCAAAGATCGTACCAATCAGATTGCCTAGTGCCTAGGTAGGGTTGTCCACATTATGCTCCCAATTTTCACTATTATGCTAATTCTATACAGAAGCAAACAATTGTCAAATACTTGTGAAATGTTCGTGGCTGGTGTGACGCGGCGTTTCGTCTCGGCCAAGAGACTCTTCAGAGACCTTTAGCATTCAAAGGCAAACTCGTTGAGCATCACGCCCAAAGTCCCGTTCGCAAATTCTTGATGTTGACAGTCTGG